TGAGAGTCCGAAACGTCGGGCAAATAAAATACTGGTCCCAGAGAGCGTCTTCTCGCCTTCTATTCAATTACCTGGGCCTCGCATATTTTCGACTATTCAGAATTTATTTTATTTGTTAGTTTTTTATTGAGTTGAATTAGTTTTAGTTAAGTTTTTATTCTAGTTTTAGTTGTATTAGTGACATGCAGTTGCCTTTTGGCTAATCGTACAGAAATAGGAAAAAAATCCTTTCCTTTGTGGTCTTACTTATATCTCGAACACTTACAATTCTTTGCAAAGTTCCGCATTTTGCACAGTTCTCAAATTAGCGCAGTCCTTGTTTCCTATTGTTTTTATTTCTCAGTTTAATTAGCGCGGGCCCAAAAATTGGGTCATTTGCCTACTTATTTCTATTATTTTTTTAGTTTTATGTGACCCTTTTACCACCGGTCCCGTATTACACAAACGTGGGGGTTTTCTATTACTGTAGTATTGCTCATAATTGATTTTTAAATTTATTATTAACTGGCGCTGAAGGGTTGGAAACCCTGTCACGCAGACTTTTCAATTGTCGGTTTCCACTTACCTTTATTTCAATGAGCACGTGAGCAGGTAATTGAGTTTCAGAGCTAAGGCTGCTTAATCTTCATCTCCGCTCCAGGCGATTGAATTAGCACGTGTAGTTTGAGGTCTGTATGACCGTCTGGCAAGTTATTCAGTCGGGTCACATCACCGGTGATGAGGAATGGATAGCTCAAATCTCTCTCTCTATCTCCTTCGCCTAAGTTGACGAAAACTTTTTCAGGTCCACTTGACTTTGCTTTATTAGCAGATGGTAAACAACAGTTTGCAAGTACCGTGTGAAACTAATTGCACAGTTCGCGCACACATTGACGACATTCAAATCAAGTTATTAGAAACCAAGGTATTATGCCTTAAGAGCCGATTTAGATGGAAACAGTACAGAGGTAAGGCGGATTTATCTATGCCCCCCTTTCCCCGGCTCTTAAACAGAACTCCAGAGCAGGAACTGACCTCAGTGCATGTGTCTTTGCACTAAACTCCACAGGAGATGGATTTAGGTTTATGGCTAGTATTAAGTCTAGGGCTGAGTTTAAAGTTAGGTTAAAGTTAACGTTAGAGTAGGTTGCGGTTAAGGTCAGAGTTAGTGCTCAATGTTAGAGTGAAGTTGAGGGCTCC